TGCTAGAAGTAACAAGGACTAGTCAGTAAATATTCTCTCACATGCTGATTTGTTTCTGGTCCAGCATCCATTCCACTTCAGTCAACTGTTAGGCCATTTATATATCCTTGAAAACACCTAAGTTACTTTAGGAAAAGAACATACAATCTCCACAGTAGAATGAGTTATGGTTTTCATTTAGTAAGTTCTGGGAAGTTGACAATGTAAACAGGCAGATGCCTACCGTCTAAACAGATGCTTCTGTTTAAAAATAGTACTTTAGAGCAAGTTCGGACACTTTTGTGAAAGGCTAAAATTAGCAGCTGAGACAGTCTTATCTGAGTAATTTTTTCTCCCATCTGTGATCTGGGACACATGACAGCCCATTTCAGAAGAGCTGATGAGGGCTGGAGCTGAATTTGGGTTTTTTGTTTTGGTTTTGGTCTTTGCTACCACCTGCTGTATAGCTTTCTTTGGTCTGGCTTTTCTGAGAGAGAAAACAGGACTCTTGTACCCACTTCATACTGGGATCACAACTATGATAGCAACAACTGTGCCTCAACTTAATTATTACCATCTGTGTTCTTGTGGGACTGGGTACAACATACAAGTGAAGGCCCCAGTCATGTGCTGGCATTTCAGACGTGGGTTATTTCTATTGCTGTGCAGTTGAGAATGAATGCTTTTGCCAAAAAATAAAACAGCTGATGACAGGCAGGAGTAGAGGTGGGGTATTCATATTTTATTTGAATAAATTATCCAGGTTTTTTGAAGTGTATAAACTAGCTGAGTCCCTGATAGATAACTGGCTCATTTTTCTCTTAGGAAAAGTATATAACTCGGAAGGCAGAAGAGCTGGTATTGAATAATCTGGAACAAAAGGAGAGAAAGAAAAAGAAGTCTGGTACAACAAAGGGAAAGAGAACCTCAGAGGAGCAGATGGAGCCCATTGGGGCTGAGAGTGAGGATTCCAACATGGCATGATCTTTTAAATCACTTCTGCCAGCTTTCTGCTTTGCGCCTTGCATCAGGAAAGGTCCCTTACTGTACCCTAAGGGAACAAAGGCAGCCTCTCCATGGAAAACTCCATTGGGAGTTGCCCTTGCAAAGCAGCTACAGCAATGGGACCTTTCATCTTTTACATGAACCTGGTAATTGTTTTAAGTTCCATTTTCAAAAACAGGCTTCAATGCCAAGAGTTGTTTGCTTCCCTTTGCAAACCGTATTTTGGTGATGGGTAAACAAGGACTATTTTAATAGTTTTCCAAAAGAGAATCAGTCATGAGGGCTAGACACTCCAAGGCTAGGTATCCTCTGCCTAGCCAGCAAACAGAACTAAGAGTGTGAGATGCTCTTCTAGGCAACTCTCCATGCTGTTGTTTGGCTTTTCCAAATTACGAGTAAGATTTGTTCATTTCCTGTTTGTTTTTGTTGCTGCGGTGCTTAAGTGTATTGAAAGTATTTTTCAGCCATCATTCATACTTGTTCTGGGCTATTAAAGTAGACTTTCCTGAATCGTTATTTTCCATGTGAAATTCCTTGAGTGCAATGCTCACTAAAGAGTTAGGATGGAGTTAGCTGCATCTCCTTGCAGTAGATGAAAAAGATGATCATGACAACCTGTTCTAAAACCGGTTCATCCTTTCTGCTGCTGTGTGGACTTTTGGCTACGAACCTGATTAGTAGCCAGATGAGTTCTCTTCAAAAGGGGACTATATCTTTCCCTTACTGGAATAGATGGGATCTGTATCTAGGGTAATTTCTGTGCAATTATTTTGATGATACTATGTGTGTGTGCGATTGTCCTCTTTAGCAGCCTTTTTCCTTCTTTTTTTGAATTTGTATCTCTCGTGTCAGTGATCCTGAACTGTTGCCATAAAGTGCTGTGCCCTACTGACTTCTCAACTTAGTGACCCTGTATCTATTTAAATGTAGAGAAGCTCCTGTGTAATAGAAAGTAAAATGAAACCTTAAATTTTTATGACTGGGCAGACCAATCAAGTACCATCCCCAACTAACAGACACTTTTATTTCCCTGCCCTGTCTGCAGGAGGATATATGATCAATGGATTGTCTTGGGTGAGGGATATTGTGCTGTTCTTGGAGGAATGGGATAGAAATAACGTTCATGGTAGAATTGCTGTGGGGGGCTTCTTGGTGTGACCAAAATATGACAAAAGTGTTGGGTTTTCCCCCAGTTTTTTCCCCCTCAATTCCTCCAACCTTGAGAGAGCTGGTTGAATCCCTGCCCACACACCCTTCTTCCTATCTGAGCTTCTCAGCAGTATTCCCAAATCAGCCAGCAGAGAGGTATTCTCTAGCTCTGTATGACGCCTTCAATATGTTGTTGCCTTCAGAGGAGTGGGAAATAAAGGGTACATTTGTAAATTAAACTGGCATCTCTTACAGGGAGAGCAGAGCACAGTCTCCTATATCAGCCAGCTGTTTCACTTGTATTTGGAGCTCTGAAACTGGTGACTGGCTGAGAGAATTGTGACCTTCCTCCAAGTGTCATCTCCTTCAGAATGTGTTGTTGGCATAAATCAGCCTTTTGGGTTTTTTTGCCCTTTTATTTTCTCTCATCAAATTGTGGGTGTGGGGTTTTATTGCTATTCTGGGAAAAAACCTGTACGATCAATTCCATAGAACTGTCTAATGCTGGAACTGATCTGTCCACTGGTGCTCTGTGCTCCGTGGACTATCCGGGGCTGTATCAGCGTGATCCCATATGAGCCGCAGAAGGCACTGAGTGGTATGTTTTTCCGGTAGAGCTTGGGGACCCTGAGGAGTTCTTTTCATATGCAAATATATCTAAATTATGCTTGTTTAATATTTTGTACTTCAAAGAGACTTACAGATTTTAACAAAGTAGCTGTTGCCCCCTATCTGGAGGTTCATAGACTTTCTCCAGCCATTGGCAATGGGAGGGTTCAACCTGCCATGAAGCAGCACTGTACTTACTTTCTTTTAATATGAACTTTCTGTGGAGTAAGGCAGCGTAAAAGTGTTTGATTCTTCCCCCCAGGAGGGTATAGAAAATGTATACTAAGAAAAATCAGGATCTCCAAGATTTTGCCTGTACTCAAGAAAATTCCTGTATTGGGGCCCTGTGTTCCAATGAGCATACTTGTGAAATATGTTTGGCCACACGTGCTAGTGCTTATCTGACAGCTCACTAAATGAACCCTGATCAGGCAGAGAGGTTGTAACTTGCATTCACACAGCAAGGTAATGGCAGGGCTGGGAACTGAATTTAAAATTCTTGATTCTCGGGTCCTATAAAACATGATTTCAGTAAGGTTAAATATAATTTTAGTCTGTACTGTGCAAGTACTAGTGTGGATGGCACGAAAATGGTTCCAATAGTCTTCCTCCTACTATTGCATTGAGTTCTGTTCTCAGAATTTTCAAGAATTCATTGCTTCTTGCGGCTTTGACAGAAACGGATGGGTTGACATCCCTAGAGATCACCACCGAAAGATTCTAGTAGAGCACCAGTGAGGAAGAGTTCAGAACGCTAATCAGCATGGGTGGCGGGGATGCATTGACATATATGCACTCAGGCAGGTTCTGTTGCATCCCCCAGGTTGTTGAGTAATAGGGAAGGGAATGAAATGAGTTCCTGGCTTCAAGCCCTGTGCTCAATTCCCTAATTATGAATGAATGCTGCACCCTTCCATGTGTTCATCTGGTATGCGAATCTTAATGTGAGCCCTTGCTTGGGCCCGTAGTTTTGTGCACAAAGCCACCTGAGGCACTGTTAGTCCTGATTTTCCATTCTAAAGGTCTGTCCAACAAGTACCCCAGGCTGGCACAAGGAGAGATCATTGTAATAGTACACTGCATCTCTGTAGGGCGTTGAAGTACTCTTCGAACACTGATCCTCACAAAGTACACCCGAGTCAGTAAATGTGTTATTCCCATTTTTATAGATGATGAAACCGAGGCAGAGAGGTTGTAACTTGCATTCGCACAGCAAGGTAATGGCAGGGCTGGGAACTGAATTTAAAACTCTTGATTCTCAGGTCCTATAAAACATAATCTCTGCAATGCTTTTTATCCTAAAATGAAAGTTACCCTTCCCTGGCAGTATTGCCAACCCTGCATATTCAAATATTGTGGGGTTTTGTTTTATTTAATAATAATCCCTGTTCTTCTACTTGTTTTCTGGTTTCTGCTCAGGGAGGGTGACTCTGGGTTGTGTGTTCAAGATTTTCTCCTCAGTTACGTGGGTAGTAGGGCTGTGCAAAGCTTCGGTGATGATTCGATTCGGAGGAGATTGGCCCCGATTCGGTGGCTGAATCTTTGAATCCGAATCAAATCAGGGGACCAATTTAAAGGTCCGAATCGATTATTCAAAGCTCTCCAAATCTTCAGAAAAAATTTGGAGACCTTGAATGATTTGAGCAGTCCCTGGTGGCTGCAGCAGGGAGCTGCAGCTGACTCAGAGCTGGTGAGTACTAGGGCCTGGGGGAGGGGACCGTGGGGGGGACCCCTGCCAGCCCCCGCTCCCCCCACTCCTCCAGCCCTGTCCATGGCTGCCCCCACTGGCCCCAGCTTGGTACTTCAAAAAAAAGTCCCAGTGCTCACTGGGTGCTTCCAGGCCGGGGGGGGGGGGAATCCCTGTTGCCCCCTGCTGCATGGGGGGCTCTGCACAAGCACACTTCCCCTACTTCCCCTGTGCTCCGCCTTGGTCAGCTCTGGCCCTTTAAGAAAAAAAAACAACCAAGAAAAGACCCGGGATTCACCACTCCTGCAGCAGCAGCATCAGGGCTTCGGGGGCTCCTGCTACAGCGGGGATTGCCCCTTGTAGCAGGACACCAGGGTGCCTGCTACTGAGTAGTAGTAAAGGGGTAGCTGCCAGTCAGCAGGGCAACTAACTGGGTCAGCTGACCACCAGGGGGCAGGGCCTGGCCTTCATAAACAGAGAGGGCTAAGGCCAGAGGCAGTCTCCCTCGGGCAGCACAAGGAGAAGGAGCTCTGTGGGAGTAAACAGAGC